CGTGGAAAGAGGGAAGAAATGTCTTACCGGAAGAAAAATTGGGAGACTGAAACTGGAACACTTAGTGGGCTATGTAATATGCTAGAAAAATGTTTGGGAGAGAACAATGAATTACCTGGAGGAGACAGTTACCAAATAAAATTTTTCCTTCTTAAATTTCTGCAGCTTAAGCAGCAGCTTCCTGAAGTTAGTAAAAACACAACTGGCTGGGGTTTTGTTGTTGTTGTTTGCTTGCTTGCTTTTTGCAAAATAGTTGCTAATAAAGTTTCAGAATGACCTTCCCTGTCTAATTTTCTCTATGCTAATATTGTAATTTTTTCTTAGCTTGCTGATGAGAAGAACCCCTAATGTACCTTTCTCTCTTGTCAGGCTAAAACTTTATTTGTCCTGCAATCAGAACAAAGATTTTAATCCAAGAAATCACATTGAATTTCAGATGCAAAAGCTCCAGACTGCATTAGACTAGGTCAGGAGCTGATAAAGCACTGTGGGACCAGAGTTCCTGTCCCAGAGAGCCCCTGTAGGCCACAATACAATATAAGCACAAAGGTAATTTGGAAGAGGGCTACATTTGTGTGCATGAGATGGTTCAGGTTTTTATTAAGAAGCAGAAAATTGCCTTGCCAGAAAAAGGAGATGAAGATGTGGCACAGCCTCCTTCTCCTGTCATCTTCGCAAAGTTTGGAGACAAATACCCACTTTCTAGCCTCCAAAATCAACCTTCATTATTAAAAAAAAAAAAAAGAAAAAAAAGTCTCTATGCATTGAGCCATTTCTGCCCAAGCACAATGCTTGACTGAAGGGATGTTGACTTTAGGAAGGTTAAAGGTGGCTGCCTCATCTAACAAATGGGTTTTAGCAAGAGGGGAGAGTTGTTGTTCTTTCTCATTTCAGGAATGAAGTGTCAGGAAGCTGCTGAGGGCAAACAGGCCCCTGCTGAGCAACTGAATGATGGCCCCAGCTGCAGAGGGTGCTGGAGCAATGCGGGACCTGCAGTTCTCACATTTGGGAAGCGCATGGCAGCTCCCTTTCCCACGTCTGAAGTCAGCAGAACAACACTGACAGCTCCATTGGGAAAACAGGGGCAAAGCAGTTTAACTTAGAACACCAAGTGATGTGCAGGAGTCGAGCCATTCCTAACGCCCAGATCCCTCGCTCCGGCCTCGTGTGACTTTCCAACTGTGAACCTAAGGGTTGGTGTTGAGTGTTTTGCAGGACGGTCAGGAATCATGTGAAAATAGAGCAGAATTTGATGTTCCTGTTCAGAAAGATCAGCACTAAGTCCATTTGATCTCTTGGAGAAGGCCAAGCATTAAGACCCAGATCGGGATAAGCCCACACTCCCCCACCTTCACCATTCCTTGGCACAGTATAACTCGGAGGTGTACGGAGCAAGCAAAAGCTCTAAATTACTACGGATACCCCTGGAAGAACTGGGGTCTCCAGGTCAGTCTGCACCAACATAGTCCATGACACAGTCTTGCTGTTTCCATGAGAAACGAAATGTGTGTCTCACTAACTCCTTACTGCTTTTTTCAACTCATTTGTAGGATGATAGAACTCCCATAAAAATCCCCACCACCACATCCTCGAGTCCAAAAAGCTGCAGGACCAAAGCAAGAATCAGAACAAGACAAGACAGTGCTTTCTGTGACGAGCAGCCCGTAAGAACGACAGATCTCTGTTCATTTTCTCACATGTTATTTAAAACCATCCTTTTTTGGGGCTTACAGCTAAGTGACTTTTCACAATATAGCAATGTAGAGGAATAAGTGCTGTGAAGAGCTGCAAAAAGAGTACAGAAACGAGGAACACGTGTACCCAAGCACCCATGAAAGCAGGTAAAACCACCTCGGGAGAACCAGCAGGACTCTTGAGCAGGACATGGGGTGTCCCCAACTGCCACCCCTGCCGAAACAGGAGCCAGGCTCCGGGATCTAAGAATCTGCTTTCTGATAGGAAACCTGTAAAACTTTCAGCAAAAGATGAAAAATAATATCTCCTGTTGACAGGAAAGCAGAAGATTTCTGTACAGGAAGGAGTGGCATATTGAAAAGTCCTTCGACGTACGGGAAGGATGCCAATGGGAGCAAGCTTCAGCAATCAGCAAAATCACCTATGTTATAAAGCTAACAAAAACGGTCACCCACAACTTTGTGCACGTGCATGAACCAGAACTTGTATTATTTTAAAAATTTACAATTGGATCTTAAATTAAATAAAATCTTTGAAGTCCTCTCTTGCTATTATTTCCCATTTTAGTTCTTAGAGTTTCTTATCTGCTGAATTATGTGTCTGGTTTAGGGCTTTTTTCCAAATCCAAACCTTGGGGATTTTTTTTTAACAGTACAATAAAAAAAAAAATCACAGTGCTAGAGGGAAACAAACTATTTTTGTGTGTGTGTGCTGCTCTTTTCCTTTACAAAAAAAAAAATACAGACAATGTTTCTTTAAAAGCCTCCATCTGCAAATCCCATTAGATGTGCATATAAGGTTTCGGATGATTAATAGGTGCCTGCTCCGCTTTGGTTGGAGGGACTCGGTGTAGGCAGATTAACCCCTCCCTCCCTTGCTCACGTTTCACTTCACAAACTTGTCGCTCTCCCCTCGGCACGGGATTTAAAAAGTTTCACCCATGTCCAGCACCCCACTAGGAAGAAAGCCCTAGGCCTTGGGAAGCGCTCCAGGGTGATCATGGCACGGATCTCCTCATGGTTTTCCAGACATGACGATGAGGATGTTTAGAAGAGCTCCCAAAGTAGCAAGTTTGCAACAGCATAAAGCTCACGAACAAACTGCTTTTTAGGGAGCAATCAGATTTCTATTTTCTGTGAGACCGATTCTCGCGGCGGCCGCGCGGGTCTCGAGGCCAGCGGCGGGACGAGGGGATGGAGCCCCCCAGCAGCAGCTGCATGCAGAGCGCCCCGGCGCCCGCGCCGCTCTGGGGCTGCCTGCGGGGCACCCGCGCCGATGCCGCCC